CACTGCAGTCACATCACTGCAGTCACATCACTGCAGTCACATCACTGTGCATCACTATGCAGTGCCCACGGCACTGGCTCCAATTACTGCTGCCTTTAAAGGCACTAATTTTGTTTAAAGGAACTAATTTTATTGATTGTTTTTAAAAAAAAAAGAAAAAAACAGCCAGGCATGGTGGTACACACCTTTAATCCCAACACTCAGAGGGTACATGCAGGCAGATCTCTGTGAGTTCGAAGCCAGACTGGTCTACAAGTTCCAGGGCAGCCAGTGCTTCATAGTAAAGACACTGTCTCAAACAAACAGTTGTTTTGTTTTTTTCTAATGTATTATGACCAAGCGTGTGTGTGTGTATGAACTCACACACTGCAGCATGCCTGTAGAGGTCAGAGAACACTGCAGGAATCCTCTCTTCCTGCCACGCAAGTCTGGGAGACTGAACTCGGGCCGTCAGGATTGGCAGCAAGCACTTGGACCTACTGAGCCATCTCACCAACTCCTCTGGTTTTCGTGTGCCAGACGCTGTTCTGAATGTTGGCTTTGGTCTGGATCTGGGGTAGCCAGCAGTGATTTAGGTGTTTGCTGGCACAGAACTTAGATGATGATCAGAGGTTTGGTCAGTTGGACCTTCCAGGTTTTGAAGTGTATTCATTTGTATCAGTTCTGTCAGTAACTTTTTTTCCCTCAGTTCATAAGTTTTATTTGCAACAAGTGCATTTGTTGACAAAGTATTATTTGTTTATTTATTTATTTACTAAGTGGTAAGTCCTATTTTAGAGGCCAGGATATAATGGTAAATGATACAGATAAGGTTCCAGCTCCTGTGGAATTTCTATTTTAATACAAAGCAAATAGGATAATACTAGCCAAATGAAAACTGAGCTGCCTCTGATTCCTAAGTGCTGGGATTGAAGGTGTGCGCCACCATACCCAACTGTGTTGTTGTTGTTGTTGTTGTTTTTAAAGCAATCAGTAAAATTCGTTGCTTTAAAGGCAGCAGCAAAAGGAGCCAGTGCTGTGGGCCACTGCGAGAGGAGAGCGTGGTTCTCAGATGGCTGCAGCTTTGGCAGCCAGGTTTGCCTAGGAATGTTCATCCAGGCCTCAGAGATACGAAGCGGGAATGGCAGGGCTAGGATGTCAGGGAGCAGCTCGTGTGAAGGCTGACGTTGGGCACGATGAGAAAAGTAAGGGCAAGCACGACCGCATCAGAGTGGTCACGGCTGCGGAAGACAAGAGCGGGCGTTGAGAGCAGGTCATACAGGCTATAAACCCTAGAATGTGGGTTGGAAACTCATTTCCGGTGCAGTGGGGAGCCAGGGGAGGACCTGTGAGTGGGACCTGAAATAATCACTCTGCTAGTATATGAAGTCCTGGAGCTTGGAGAGGCACCTGGAACGGCAGCAGCCCTTTCTCCTCTCTCTCCCATTGGGTAACTTTTTTTTTCTTTTTTCTTTTTTTCTTTTTTTTTTTTATTTTAAGAAACCAACGTCTATAGGACTGGAGATACAGCTCGGTGATAGAATGCTTTCCTAGCATGCCAAAGTCTCTGGGTTCCATCCTTGGCACCCCACACACCCAAATGAAATCAACTGTGTGTCAGTCTCAAACCCTTAGCTCTTGTGGCCATGTCTTTTGGTAGTTCTTAGCCACGCTGTACTGTATTGTCTTTCCTCCGGTGGGACATTTCCAGAGCAGATTGTTGGGTAGTCAACCTTTTTTTTTTTTTTTTTGCACAATGCTATACAAATAATATGTAATAAATAATAAACGCACGATTAGTGAATTAAATTTTAGATCACGTTTTATTATCATGTGCTAAAATGTATCCTTTTTTCCCCAGAGACGTGGAGCCATTTCCTACGACAGTTCTGACCAGACCGCGCTATACATTCGTATGCTCGGTAAGCACGGTTTGTATCAGCGCCAGTTAACTTTGTTGTCGTGTTATTGGGATGAGATGTCTCTCACTAGGTAGCCTTTTCATCACTTTTTACAGCAGATATTGAAACTCAGCACCTGAACACTGTACTGCATGCAACGAGTCAACAGGGGCCTTTTACAGTTAAGACAATGTAGAAGTCTGGTTTAATGGGACAGTATTTTTAGTGTACAGCTTATAACTGTTGTAGGGCATTCTGTGTAGAAAGTGGGTTTCTAGAGCTGCTAAATAAAGAAGTGCTGTCAGCGTGGATAAGAACGAGCCTGAGCCATTCCTGTGAGCTGTCTTCATTTGTTCTCAGGGGCCTGCTGAGAGAGCTTGGTACTTAGGGTTCTTGTGCATTAGCCGTTTCACACGTCCATAGCTGGCTGCGTGTGTGTGCTCGGTTTCCCTCCTGCCTTTGCCGGCATCCTCGTCACCCAAACACATCCCTTGTTCTTTACATCACACCATTAAACACGCACAGTGATAGCCCAGTAGGCGTATTTGCTTGTCTTTGAGGAGTTGCTCCTGGCTTTTCTCCTCATGTTCAGAGCCCTCCCTCCAGTGCTGAGCCACTGAGCTAATTGTTATAGTTTATCTGCCTCTGTTCCTCCTTTGGTTCCTTCACTAACCTTTTATACTCTTAAGCCTAAATGTTTCCCCGAGTTCTGTTTTTGCTCTTACTCCTTCCTCTTTAATTTGCTTTGTATTTTGTGTGTCTTACCCACTCCATTCTGTCCTACTGCAGCAGGTGTTTGTTCCTTGTTTCCTCCTTCCTTGTCTCTTAAAAACAGATGTTTATGGTTCTTTCACCCCTAAAGCAAAGTTCTAGATGTGTTTACTCTGTTTCTATGGGTGCTTCCTAATGGATGTATGATGGCTACCCCAGACTTCTAACAGCTTGGGAAGATTTGTTTTTCACATCTGTAGTCTTCCCATCTCAATAGATATTACCTCCAGTCTCTCAGAGTGCGATCATTCTTGACTCCTGTTTCTGGCATAAGTGCAGGTACCATAAGAAAAAGGAAAGAAAGAAAGAAAAGCAAACTAGCATCGCACCATCCTGATCACGTCACCAGTCTAAACCCTGGTTATTGTCTTGCTTCTTGAACTTGTTCCTTAATTGGTCTTCCTGAACTGTGGTCTGCACAGCCAATGTGAGCCTTTTTCATACATAAATAAAGTCATCTTAACTGTGTGTTCAGAGTACTCTGAGGACCTTTGACCTTAGAGAAACAGCCAAAACTGGTGTGTTAGGTCCCAGTGTCCAGTGTGACCCAGCCTGATGCCTCTTTGGCCCCACTTTTCCCAAGTTCACCCGTCATACTGGTGTTTTTACTTGTCTGTGAACATGCCAAGTGTGCTCCTGGCTTAGGTGTTCGTGCTTGTTCTTCCTTGTGCTTGGAAGCCTCTTTCCTCTGATGGCTTCAGGTCCCTGTCTAGACAGCTCTTCAGTGAGGACTCCCCTACGACACTATTCCACCCCATCTCTCCATTCCCCATTCCTCCTAGCTCACTTTATAGCTTCTCACCCTCCTCCATGGAAAGCAGTTATGTGTTTGTTTTATTTGTTCAGCCCTGGGAAGGTAAATTTCGTGCGCTGGTGTGTGCTGGGTCTGACGTGCATGCAGAAGACCTTTGTCATACTGAGGATTCACTACGTAAAAGAGGCCTCGGTAGATAAAGATGGATCACAGTTGATGAAGGGCAGTCCTCCGAGGAAGTCAGCGTTTCAGGAGCATGGAGTGGGGGTGGGGTGGGGGAGGCTGAAGCTCCTACGAAGTTCTCCTCTGTTCGCTGCAGACATCATTAACAGAAAAGTGCTGCTTTGGAACTGTGGGTTTAAGTACTCCTTGTCCTTCGCACCAACTTGAGGCATGGAAATGCGATTTGATCCACCAGAACCCAATTTCTGCTTCCACAAAATGGGAACTAAAGTTCTTATTTGGGTTTGACTGCAGAATTTAACAATGTCTATGATACAAAGAGTACCTGGTAATTGATTGCTAAATTAGCTGAAAATCATGTGGGTTTATGTAAGAACAACATCGAACAGATAGAAACAAAAGTTTAAGAACTTGCTAAAATGATGTGGGATTCTCCTCTGTATGCTGTGAATATATTTTTATCACCATTGGTTAATAAAGAAGCTGCTTTGACCTATGACAGGGCAGAATAAGCCAGGTGGGGAATCCGAACAGAGTTATATAGATATAGAGAGAGTAGGTGAAGTCGTCCAGTGCCATGTAACTGCTGAAGGAGAAAGACACCAGAACCTTACCAGTGGGCCACAGCTTCGTGGCGATACATAGGTTAATTGAAATGGGTTAACTTAGGATATAAAAGCTAGCTAGGAATATGCCTGAGTCGTTGACCAAACAGTGTTGTGATTAATACAGTTTTTGCGTGATCATTTAGGTCTGGGCAGCTGGGAGACCAAAGTGCAGTCTCCATTTTCACTAAAACCCTAGGTGAGAAGAGAGATTTCTAATTGCAGAGTACAGTGGGAGTTTGGGCACTGTGAAACTGCAGTCTGTTCGAGAGTAATCGTGGTTCCTGTGTCCGTCCTCTCCGTGGTCAGTCCAGTGTACCGGGCTAGGCAGAGCATCCGTCCTCTCCGTGGTCAGCCCAGTGTACCGGGCTAAGCAGAGCATCCGTCCTCTCTGTGGTCAGCCCAGTGTACCGGGCTAGGCAGAGCATCCGTCCTCTCCGGGGTCAGCCCAGTGTACCGGGCTAGGCAGAGCATCCGTCCTCTCCGTGGTCAGCCCAGTGTACCGGGCTAGGCAGAACAGGCATGATGGATGCCTGCATCTTGCTGTGGCTTTTTAAAGTTTTGTTCTAGGGTTTTCTTCTGTGAAACAGATTTTGTTTTTATGGCATTTTATGATTATTGGTTCAACCCCATCAGAGTAATAAAACGACCTTTAAAATATAGATTATTATTAAGAAATGAGATTTTTAGAAGTTTCCTAACACAGTCTTACAAATCAATACTGAAATTTTATTACCTCCTCTAAGAAAGTCAGTTCTTAACCATTCATTCAGTTTATTTTGTTTGGTTTATTTTTTAGCATGCACTCATGAGTTTCACTGTGGCATTTCCACATATATGTCTCCTATCTCCCCTGGCTGGGCCATACCAAGGAGTAGAATCCCACCTGGTTCTGTTTGTACATGAGAAACAGCTTTCTAATTAACTAACATTTATTTTTGACTCTGCCCAGGAGATGTCCGCGTAAGGAGCCGAGCAGGATTTGAAGCAGAAAGAAGAGGTTCCCACCCATATATCGACTTCCGTGTTTTCCACTGTATGTATTTCTCTCCTGTTCACAAAACTAAACTTTTGGTGTTCATAGCATTTAATTTTCTCAGGGAGAAAGCATATAAGGGGGAAAAAGTGCTGACTTTTTAAAGTATAAGTTCATAAATTATACTGTATTTCTAGATAATGTTGACAAATAGAGGTAACAGAAGAGGTTAATAATCACAACTTTGTTTTTTGATTCAGTGTTTCCTGTAGCCCAGGCTGGCCTCGTACTCACTGTGTAGCCCGAGATGACCTGGAACTTCTGATTTTTCTGCCCCCACCTCCTGATTATTAGATTATAGGTGTGAGCTAGTACACATGCTCTTTGCGGTGCTGGAGAACCCACCTAAGGTCATGCATGCCAAGCAAGCACTCTACCAACCAAGCCATGTTTCTAGCTAAATTAGGTTTTAGGTGTTTTTGTTACTAATTTTCTTCATTTCTGAGACAGCATCAACATATTTTATGCAAATAACATTTTGTAATAGTATTTTAGAAGTTGAATGAAGTTGTCATTTTATTTGGTTTAAAAATGGTCATAGAATGACTTTTTAAAAATAAATGTGTGTGTGCATGTGCGTGTGTACATGTACATGTGTGTGTGCATGTGTGTGCATGTGTGTGTGTGTGTAGATCATAGGCGGAGAAAAGGAAATAAAGCAAGTGACAAAACTCTTAAATACTGAAGGTGTTAAGTCTGGTTTTGGGCTCATTCAACTTTTGGTTATGTTTGGTAACATAAATTAACACTCTAAAAAAAATGAAACCAAACTTGACAAAATATAAAAGGCATCCTAAATAATTTAGAATATAAATGAGGTGGAGAGACGAACCTGGCATTGTCAGTCACCTGTCCCCTGAAGGGTCATGTGCTGGTTCTGAGAAAAAGGAGGAGAGGATGACCAGGCTCCGCTGGACACTCACTGTTGGAGGGGCAGACGTAGGTCTTTATGCTTCTGCCAAGTGTGCATGGGGCAGGCACAGCTGGTGAAACATCTGTGGTTGAGTGACTTCAAAGACCCCAACGTGCTTCGTAAGGCTAGAAATGGGTCCTGACTGCAATGTGCCAAGCACGGGCTATGTCAGGGTGTTTGTGGCCTGTAGCATCTGTCCCAAGAGAAGATGCTGGCAAAAACCTGAGCGACCTTCCAGTCTCGGCACACCCAGGAGCAGTGCACAGGACACCGGGGCTGCCACAGAGGGTCCCTTCTTCCTGCTGTAACAACTGACTCAGAACTACTTGTTCTAGAACAGCCGCCTTTTAAAACACAGACCAAGAAGTAGTTTAGGCCTAAAGCAGCGTGCCACTGAAAGAAAGGCGTGCTTAGGTGGTTCATAACATAACCGTGAAACCCAAAGTCTGAGAGAAAACAGGAAAATGGCAAAAGAGGCAAAACGTGTCCCCGCAACGGGGCAATTACAACTTGCCAGTAATGAAATCTTTCATTTTCTTTTTGTATCCGTCCTTTCCAGCTGGAGCAGCAGCCATGTGGGGTACAAGGCAGCCCCATTGGCTTCTGGGCGTCCTGAGGCTGGGGTGGCAGTACTGTTTACACCAGAGGCTGGCGGGAGGGGCTCTGAGGTGGGGCCTGCTGAGGAAAGGAACCAAGACGCTAGAGGAGAAAGGAAAGACCTTAGCTGGGAAGTGCCACGAAAAGTAAAGTCAAAGTAGAGGAAGCAGGATGCATTTAGAGTTATTCCTAAGGCCAGCATAGTCTGGACACTGCCTACGTGGATATGAAAGAATAGTCAGGTCACGCCTGCCTCAAACAGAACATTTCCAAGAGCAGGTCAGGTTGAATCCGTTATGTACTGGAAGACTGATAGATTTCTCCAGAAATGTAAGATCGCTTTAAGCATTGAAGACAGTCAATGTGACTCATTGTATTAGTAAGAGTAGAGGAGAAAAGTTATGGGTAGTCAATATAAAGACTAAATTCTAGAGAGCTGCAAGGAAACGTGTCTATAGGACCGGCCTTCTCTGCTCCCTCCTGGGACTGATCAGTGTGGCTCGTTCCCGCAGATGACTGCTTGCTATTGAGCTATTTCTGGTGCCTTCACTGGGGCATTCTTATTTGTTGGTGGCATTAAAGATTTTATTATTGACTGGCACTCCAGTAAGAATGTTGCATTTGCTTTTAAAAAGATTTTTTGCTTTATCAAGTTAATTTGCTTGGTTACATTTTTATGATCTGAAGTTTGAACTGCTTAAAAACTATCAGTCTTTTCAAACCTCTGATGACTCTGTGTGAATTCCTCCGGTCCTCAGACTGTTGGCGGTATCTGTCCATCATACATTGACTTAAGGGTCTTCTCTCTCATACGCCCCCAGAGTTTCACTAAATTTAGTAAAAGAGAGGATTTTGGAAATAAGGTAAAGGATGTGGGAAGTTTCAAATAGTGAGCAAAATAGTACATTTGGTGGGGAAGGATGAAATAGAATAGTGGGAAATTCCTTTTTGTGTGTGTGTGTGGTTTTTCGAGATAGGATTTCGTTGTAGCTTTGGAGCCTGTCCTGGAACTAGCTCTTGTAGATCAGGTTGGGCTTGAACTCACAGAAATCTGCCTGCCTCTGCCTCCTGAGTGCTAGGCTTAGAGGTATGTGCCATCACTGCCCAGCTTTCTTTCTTTCTTCCTTTTTTTTTTTTTTTTTGGTAGGAAACCAAGAAGAAATGACACATAATTGAAAACCGAGAGAAGACATTCCGAATGTACTGGTGGTGGAGATAAATTTATAGATTGTTACATATTCCTCTTAGGAGTTAAAGATTGCCAGATTGGATGGTAGTGAAGTGTATAACCGTTAGGCCTGCATGTATGTCCCACCAAGCCTGAACTAGCACAGCCTTCAGGGCTAGCCATAATTTCCCAGGGTTCTTCCTTGTAGAGTTTTCATCTCTTCATACAAGGTGGAAGTGCCTGGTTTAGTTCTGTGGAGGCAAAGTCGTTCCTTGTCTCTGCTCTCTGTGAAGTGCCCTTCTGCTCAGACACCTGCGGCTGTCTGCTCGTTCACTGCCTGGGGTCTTGGACTTGCTAAAGGCACCTGCCCTTAGTTGCCCTTGCAGGGTAGGTATTCTTCAGGGATACCCAAAACCTTTAAAAAGACTATAATACTTCTTTTCTCTTACATGTGTACTTTAAAATAATACTACTTTTACAGTGACATAAAGACATGCATGCTGAAATAAAATTAGCTGGATTATTAAATTTGCATGTAGGTGTAGGTGTATTATATTCATTGCAGCTAGAATTTTCTGTCTGTAGCTTAACCTACTTTCTGTGCACCTCTTTACTTTTGTCCTAACTCTGTTATTTCCCTGCTGCAAAATTCTTGACTGTCTCTTCCCTCTTCTACTTAAATTTAGGCCATTAGTAACTCCTGCATATTTTGTGTTCTTAAGTTGCAGCCATGTTTATCTCTGCTCGGGCCTTCCTGAGCCTTCGTTGATTACCAGTTTGTAGTCTTCTGGTGCTTTTCTAACTTCCCCTGTTAGGGTTTCTGTCTCCCGTGTTCTCTGCTTACCATCAGGTCTTCTCAACAGGAAGAAGGTAAGTAAGATACAGGAAAGACTCACCAACAGGCTGAGGCCGGCAGTGTTAGCAGACACGGGAGCTGGACTGGTCTGTAATTTCTTATTTTCTGTGCTGTGCCTTCATCTGCTGATTGCTTTTCAGGTGCTGCGATTATTTTTAACTTGTAGATTATATATTTTCCTCTGCATTGAGTAGATTTCCTTACTAGATTTTCCTAGAATGAGACATCCAGACATTGCAATGTTGTGCTTTTCTTCTGTGTATGGCTCATTATAAACCCTGCTTGGGTTCACATTCTGAAGGTTAATTCTCCTGTCAGCCACTTTAAGCCAGATAGCTATGAGTTGGGGTAATGGTTAGAGGCTCCTAAGTTTTAAAGTGCCTCACAGCTAATCTTACCTGGACAGTACTTTCCCTGTGGTGTCTTGGCTTACCTCTTACCGTACCGTAATCCTCGCTGCCACAGTAGGATTTGCCATAGGCCTTCCTACCCAGCATTATTTTTTTACTTTAAAGAGACTTTCTCGCTGGGTGTGGTGGCTTATGTCTGTGATCCTAGTATTCAGGAAATGAAGGCAAGAGGCCAGTTTGAGGCCAGCCTGGATTGCATAGCAAGGCCCTGTCTCAAAAATAAATAAATAAATCTTCCTGAAGGTGAAGGCTGGGAGGTTAAAAAAAAAAGAAGAGGAGAAAATCAATAACAGTAAAATACCTATAGTCCTAGCAATTGAAAGGCAGAGGCAGAAAGTTCAGGGGTTCAAGGCCAGCTTCAGGTACATGCCAAAAGAGGTTGCCTTGGGCTCTCTGAGACCTTGTCTCACCTCCGCTCTATCCCCAGTAAAGAAAGGAAATCAGTTGAGCACAGAAGCTTATTAACTGTAATAAATAATCAACCGCACTAAGCAAACAGATTCCTTTCTGACTGAGGAAGTTCAGCAAACAATGACCTGAGCCCCAGGCTGGAAGTTAGAGTTCTTCCAGATTCTTGGGGACAGTGCACTAATATGCAGCACGAACTCCCAACGTCTTCCGTCAGACTTCACCCCCCGAACCAGAAGAGTACGCCAAGGGATAATGGGATATAAATGTGTAAGTGCGTCGGAGGAGTCCACAATTGCCCGACTTGCAATACCAATGCCCTAAATGATGGTGTTACGGAATCATTTAGAGAGAAAAATGTGATATAATTAGTCCTTTATATAAAGTCATAGACTTATATTCAGATCATGTATTTGTTAATTAAGTTACATTAAACCAGCCCTACAGTTATTTATAAAGTACTGGGAGAATTTAAATTTGAAGAGACTTTGAATCTGTTTAGTTCATGGCCACAGAGCAGAGTGACTGTCACAATTGAGGTCCCCTGCAAGACATGCCTCCCAAAGATCTGGAATCTGCAGGTAGGACCAGCATGGCACCTTCGCGGTAGGAATCTGCGCTGCTGGCTGACGTCTGTCGTTTTAGGTCTTTGTTTAGGTGGTAATGCCACAGAGAAGCTTTTAGTAATGTCTTCATGTCAAAATTTAAAAGTCCCCCAGACACCTCTCACTCGAGGTTTTCTGCAGCGGTCTTTGCATTTTATGATCTTTGTCTTTGTCTTGTCTGTTGTAGCTCGGAAGGTATCTGTTATATGTGTTTGCATAAGCTTAAGGAAAGGTGGCTTTCTTAAGTGAGTCATTATTGATGTTGGAGAGAATGTGGGGAGGCGGCAGTGGGGCCGGCGTCACTGCTGGTGACAGTGGCCTGGAGCTCGTGGCTCCCTAACTTGTCCCCCTGGCTTGTCCTCAGCATGCTTGTTCTAAATTGTGACAGCCTCCCCCCTCCAGGTGTTTTCAGGTTTCTGCTTAAAAACAAAAAAAAACAAAGCAAAACCCAGAGAGATGACCAAGAAGAAAGGTCATTTCTGTTTCCTTCTTCTAAATGCAGTAGACTGGAGCCAAAGTCCCAAGTAACTACAGAGATTTTATTTTCCCTGTGTTCTATTGGCCATATGTAGCTGGTCTCTTCAATTCACTAGACATGATAATATAACTGAATTCCATGTTGATTTGTGTTTGTGTGTCAAGGACATGTCTCAGTACCGTGCTCACCTGTAATCATGAGTTTAGATCCTTAGCACCCTCGTAAAGGGCGAGGTGTGGGCGAGCAAGTCTCAGATCCCAGAACTAAGGAGACAAGAGGACCCTAGAGCTTATTCGAGTAAATGGGTGAACTCTAGGTTCAGCAAGAGACCTTATCTCAAAAATACGGTTGGAAGGACTAGTGCTGTAGTGTGGTGGTGGTGTGTACCTCACATGCAGGAGGCCCTGTGTTCACCATCACCATGACCAAAAATGAAACAAAAGAAGTGGAGAGCCAGTGAGAATGGCATTTGACCTCTCTCTCACACATACTCACAAATACACACGCACACAGACACACACACACACACAACAGGAGGGGGAAGGTAGGAGGTGGGGGAGAAGCATGTACACACATATACCAGGTAACCCTTTGTTTGCTTGAAATCCAGCCCCCCTTTCCTTTGTTCCTTAAGAACTGTCCGTGAGAGCATAGCTCATTGGTAGAACTTTCGCTAGCTTGTGCAAGGCCCTACTGTTGTTTCCCAGTACCTCAAATAATACTATTACAAACCTGTTCAGCTTAGACTCTGGCGTGCTTGTTAAATCGTAATGGAAGTTGACAGCTTGACTGTTCTCTCCTTGGCATTTGCCAAAGCCCATTGACGTCACCAGCCAGGGGATGTGGTTTCTGCAACGTCTGGGCCCTGTAACACATGGAATGCTTCCTTAGTGTTTCCACGTCTGCGCGGATGCAGTTATTGGCATTTTTTCTCGTGCCTCACAGTACTATTTCAGCCCAGGAAAATGTCTTACCCATTACTCCGGCTCTGTTTTTTTTCCTTCAGTACCGCCCTCCACCAGGGCTGGGGAGCAGGGGCATTTGCACGGCAGCCTCGAAGCTCTTGGCTTTAGGCTTTCACTTGTATTTATTGTTCATTCCTCCTCGCCGGCTGCTCCTGCTCATACTAGATACTGGGGTGTTTTTATCGTGTTGAATTGACTGGAGCTCTGTATCTTCTACCAATCAGAGTTAGAGGGTCTCATTTACAGTTCCCCAGAGATAATCTTTATTAGCTTCACCCAAGTTCAGATACTTGCTGCTTTTCTTTTGAGTTGAGCCTTTTACATCGTCTTTATTACAACTGCCTGTTGGAACACACAAAACTCTTTCCCATAGTTCCTCGAGTATATTGGCTTTGGGTTGTTTCCTATTATTGTAACAAGGCTGTGTTAGGCGTAGATTGTTTGCTTCATACGTACATGATATGAAAAACATCTGTGTCTGTGTGTGCCTTGGGCTTTCCAGTTCAGATCAGGCTGGCTTCATTGTCTTAGGTTAGCTTGGCTCCTGTGTGCAGCAGCTGTGGGAGGCTGTCTGCTGTGTTTAGCAGCTGCTGGTGCTTTCTGCCTCTTAAGCCCTGATGTTTGCTGGGCACTTTCCTCACCTATCCGTCCGTCTTTGCTTTCCTCCTCGCTGTCCCACTGCCCGTCATTACCTTCCTGTTCACAGGCTGGTTTGTTTGGATGATTGATTGGTCTGCTCAGGCATCTCTGTCTTCTCTGATTTAGTGTCTTATTCAAATGTTAACATCCAGCCTGCACTTGTAGCTGTGCCCTTACAGACCAAGGCAATACTTTGAAGTTTCTAAGTTGGTTGACTCCGACATATTTGTCTTGAAATCACACCTGCTTCTTTTAAAGACAGTCTTTCTTGAATTCACAGAGCTGTCGTTGAAACAAGGCTGGCAAGGCTGGTACAGGTGCTAAAGGTGCACACGGCAGCATGCTCGTGCACGCTCGTGTGTGCGCACACACGCACACACAAACACACACACATGAACTGTGTTCTTTTTTCCTGCCAGTGACCTAAGTTCCTATCCCTCTTAGTATTAGTCCCTTACCAGCTGGCCATGTTGATGCACTGGGAAATGTCACTCTAGTTTCCAGAATGTTCTCAGACATCTGCATTTAAGAGCCATTGGTTTTCATTGTCTTGTCTCAGACTTGAAAGAAGTGAGTATTCTCAGTATCTTGATAGCTTCATTGCATAAACTAAGGGGTTGATACGGGTTCGGTTGAGCGGTGCTGCTCTTCTGGACTCTGCAGAGCTGGAGCAGCTGAGATTCACCGTGATGGGATTTCACAGCTGCGCTCTGAAGGAGGTGTGCACAAAAGCAACGTGTTTCCTTCCCTGGCTCTCCCAGCTCATTGCTCAGAACTAAGAATCGCAGGTACATAGCCAAGTTCAAGGCCCGAGCATTAAATAGCCTATGTTCCGGCCTGAGAAGTGGAGACACCCAACAGCAACAATCCTGCCTCAAAGAGTTTTGCATCTCTTATTTAATTGTTAAATCATCAGAGTGAACATTAATTCCGTGAGCCTGGGTTGTAAGAATCGCTTGAGGGGAAGGCACTGGTGATGCCTTTCATGCTTACAGAGTTGATGTCATTTGAGATCGTGAGGGGCCCACTTTTCCATAGCGAGCCTACACTTCTTACTCATTTTAAAGTTCTGAGACTATTTTGAAATCTTGTAAATGTGCAGTTGGTTCTGAAGTCCTCACATATACAGTGGTTTTCAGCATTCAATATGTGACCGTGAAAAAGAAATCTGGTCTTAAAAATTAAAAGTATATAAGTCAATGTGCTTAAAGTATTTAATGTTCATCATTACCATCTTAATATAAGTATAGCTTATACTTTATATCTATAGAGTGCTTGCTTCTTCCCGGAGCTGTGCAGAAGCACTCTGCATGTTCTCTCATGGTCTCTGCCCTCAGTCCTCAGAGGCCTGTTTGCCTGATAAAGAACTGGAGACCGTTCAGAGACTGTGAATGACCTCTTTTCTGTCCCAAAGCCAGTGACAGAGCAGGGATTCGGGCTTGGATGAGTCCTTATTCGAAACCCATCTTTTCCCACCCTGTCATCGCTCAGCGCAGCCTAGAGCGGTGTTCCCCCATCTAGCCATATATGCCAAGTCTAAATTCTTCTAACAAAGCTTCCCACAGATACATTTACTCATTTTTTTTAATAAATGACTTTAAGATAACTTTTTTTTATGGAAACTAAGGGAAGGAAAGGAAAGGTTAGAATACCAGAACGTATTTGGAATTTTTATTCACTGTTTTTTCAATATAGTATTGACCCGGACGAGAGCTAAAACCTTAAAGCACTTAGTTATGAAAATGAAGCACTGAGCAGTAATTTCCCATAGTAACTCCTAGATGTGTCTGATTTGTGCAGAGCCAGCGGTTCCAGTGCGCCCCCTTGTGGATTACTAAAGCAGTGGTCTGTTTTAGGAGCAAGGGCCTTTGTGAAGGACATTGCTGATCAGCTGTGCCCTGCTGGGTGAGGTTTGTGTAGTAGAAAAGCATCTGCAGGAGAGTTGGGAGCTCATTGTAGACCCTCGCTAGCCCCTTCCTCAGCCTGGGGCTTGTCCTTCCTCTGTACTTTCTGATGTGATGAGGGAAAAAGAATGGCATGTTTTTAAAAATCACCGACTGTTCTCTTTATTTTTTGATCCAGAAGAGTGGGAAAAGGATGTCTGGACACAGTACCCATGCCCTTGGCATTGGTGGTGCTGGTTGGTCTGTTCGGGGTTACGGCTCAGGCCGGTGGTGCTTTATAAGGCCAGCACTCTCTGATAATAACGTAAACTTCTTATGCCAGGCTTTCCAAGCTGTATCAGAATATAGCTAACTGTGAAAACGAGAACAAGCCTGGGAAGCAAATAGCCCAAGCTGATGGCAGCTGTGCTTTAATAAGATAAGTTTAGCCTTCTGTCTGTTGGGCTGTGAAGCGAATGCTGACTCACTTGGTGCTTCAGAATGAGCTCATCAGGGTATTGCTAATAGGGTTGGGTTTTGTGTAATTTGGCCAGAGGATGAGCTTTTTAATAATTATCCAAATGAAGGGTACTGGATTCTTTCCCATTCCCAAATGCCGCCTCTTTCATATATTTCTAAATGCAATTATTCATTCGGCCTGAAATCTCCCTCTACTGGGACATGAGGTATAACTAAGTTGAAAGACAAGCTGAGTGCAACTTTCCCAACTTAAACCTTATTGATTGCCCCAGAAGATGTCAAGATGTCTCCACCGGAGTTTTCAGTGTCAGGACCTCGCTTCTAGTTACTAGAGAGACATTGGGGGGGGGCGGTGAGGAGGGAGGTGGTCAGAGAGTGACCCAGTGTGAAGAAAATACACATTTCCAACAGTGTTATAGTGATGGCTCTTTTATTATTGATTTATAGTTCCCAAACCCTTTATTAGATTGTATTTTGGAAGCTCTCACAGGACAATTCTAGAAACTTCTTTATTTCACTTACAGAAATCTCATTCTCTAGCAAGGCCTGTGTGTTAGACACTAGTGGTATAAACTTTTTTATCTGACCTACTTCTGAGGATTTCTTGTAAGGGAGTTGGGCTGTGTAGAGGGATCGCACACAACACTTACCATTACAGGGTTCTTTATGAGAAAAGTGGAAATCCGAAAAGGTTTAGCAGGCACCACCTTCTGTGCACCTGCAGTCTCTCACACACTAACAGACTTCATAGTCTTCCTGCTTCTGCAGCGGATGGACAAAGGCAGAAACCCACAGCCAGACACTGTGTCGAGAGTGAGAACCCTTGAAACACTCAGCTCTAATCCGGACGTCTCCATCAAATCCCTCCTCTCAGAGCTCAGGGAACCCCAAGGAAGGGGAGGCAGAAAGAGTGTAAGAGGCAGAGGGGACGGAGAGCAAGGCCCTTTGCATTGACGTGAGCAAGGCTCCTATGAGCTCACAGAGACCGAAGCAGCATACACAGGGCCTTCACGGGTCCACACCAGGTCCGGTGTGTGTGTGTGTGTGTGTGTGTGTGTGTGTGTGTGTGTGTGTGTGTGTGTGTGTGTG